GTCCTTCGATAACCAAGGTCACCACTAGCTCTTGTGTGCTGTGGAAGTCCAAAGGTTCCTCCAGGGAGTAACAGATGGGAGAGGTGATCCACAGGAGTATTCCAGCCCATACATGTCATATTCGACCTAAAGCTGAGGGATCACAGGGGTTAAGCACTTTGTTCCTGTTCTTTCTCTTCTTCAGTGGCCGGTGTCCGAGGAGTGCGTTGGTTGTTCTACCTTTGATCCTGACCTTGAGTTCCTAAAAGTCCAGCCCCTGTGCCCAGTTCCCCTCTGCCCCTGAGCCTGGCACTGCCCCAGTGCCACCTGCTCTGTACCATCGGTGGGGATTGCTGTTGGAGGGAGTGAGGTTCAATATCAGTTTTATATATATTTGTATATATTTAATTATTTTTCATTATTTATTACTGTTTTATTAAAGCTGCTTTAGGTTTCCAATCTGTAAGTCTCTCCTCTGTCTTTTTCATTTCCTGTTTGGGGAGGGAGAGGGGTTAATAAAAGCAAAATGCTTGTACTAGGTTTCATGAAAGACTTCCTTTATTTTTTATTTTCTTCCTTCTCCTCCCCTCCTGCTGCTGATTGAAAGCAGATACTGCTAAAAGACTTGTTTTGGAAATGGTCAAAATGTGGAAGTGCTGGAAGAACAGTGATGAGCTTATGGTCATCTGCATCCTGAGGCCATTAGATGTCCATCCCTATCCGTGATTATTGCAACCAAAATAAATTTTTGCTATAATGACACACCTAGTCTCTCTGTTTCTTATTTACAAGCACATCTGGAATGGATGTGAATGAGATCCTAGAGTGAGTTTCCTTATTTGCTTGTTCAAGTTTCACTTAATCCCATTGTATTTTTTCCTTAAATCATGTGGGCAGCGTGCTGGCCTGTTGCAGTCCTTTGGCAGTCAGTGGGCTGTGGCAGACAGTGGTGTGACAGGGCCTGGTGTCACGGGCTGTTTATCTCCCACAGGCATCATAAAATTAGGTGTTCTGGTCATATTTAAATGTGCAGTAGCAGAACTGGCGTTTAGCAGTGCTGTCTGGTGTGGGATAAAGTGCTCTTTAGGAAAATACCAGTGAATCATTTACAACTTCTGAATTTTCTTGCAAGAATCTCTGCTAAAATTAAAAGATGTGGACCTGTATATGAATGGAAACTCTTGCGTGTCCTAATTCGAATCACACCTCAGCCCAGGAGTGCACCAGCACATTCCTGGAGTGTGCCCTGACTTCAGCTGCCAAGTAGAAAATGCCTGAGGATGTTTTGGCTTCTAAGCTGGCATCAAAATGCTTTTTTTTTTCCTGAACTATCTCTTTGCCTAAGTGACAAGTGAGAGGACAGGGAGAAATGGCCTCAAGTTGCACCAGGGGAGATTTAGATTGGATTTTAGCAAAAGTTTCCCCAAAAGGGTTGTCAGGTGCTGGCACAGGCTGCCGTGGAGGGGTTTGTAAGTCGTGTAGATGTGGTGCTCGGGGACACGGGTTAGTGGTAGGCCTGGTACTGCCAGGGTAACGATGATCTTAAAGGTCTTCTCCAGCCTAAATGCTTCTGGATTAATGGGGAGTTGTGTCTAATTGAATGTAAACTGTTTGTGGACAAACAATCCTTATTTTGCCAATGTGGTCAGCCTCTTTGCTAATCTAAGGTTAGAAACTGACATTAATATAGATTTCAGTGAGTTTTAAATATGTGAAACGGAATAATTTGGTTATTTCCTTGGTGTCTTTTTTCCCTGTGTTGGGGCAGAAGCACATATTTTATGGGGCTGCCACTCAAATCATACCCAAAACCCATATTTTGAACTCTTTTCCATCTGCAATGACCAGCCTAAAGGTCTGAAATCAGCCTGTAGCTAAATGGAATGCTGGCGTCTCTTTCAGGGGCGTCTTGGTGAGGCTGGAAGGATGCAGCCATCCTGTTGTGATGAAAGGCTTGTGTGCAGAATGTGGCCAGGACTTGACTCAGTAAGTATTCTTGGCTCTTTTTTTGTTTTGTTTTAATTTATTTAAATTTTTTTTGGCAACTTCTTGTTGCTTGCGCTTAAGGATGCAAACTCTTCCTTCTCTCATTTGCTCATTTGTCTTCTGAGTCCTGGTAGTTGTGAATCATTCCTACAAGGGTAATTGTGAAGTTGTAGCAGGGAGGGAGTAGAGTATTCATGCTGCCTGACATAAATAGGTCTACTCAGAGTGCTCCTGCAGGGAAAGTTGAGAAGGAGTTCCCTTTTAAATTTCAGCATCAAGCACTCCTTCACGTTTACTTTTTTTTAAAAAAAAATACATATATGTATTGAGATTGTTGCCTCAGATAGAGTGGGCTGAATATATTGTTGATCACGTTGTTAATAGTCTGATCATTTAATAAAGTATATTTCTCTACTGAAATACTGCTGCTCGTGTTTGTTGTGGATAAAACTAACACAGGCTGAGGAAGGAGGCAAGATCTTTGCTGCTGTTTCGCTATTTACTTGAGGCGCTTTTGTCATCACTGTCACAGGTACAGTGTTTAGAACTGTGTTTCCTCCGAGGGTTTTATGACCAAGAACGTGGGTGAATAAGGTGCCATGTGAGCACTTGGGTTACACTTTGCGTTACAAACTTATGACTTAATAACTGTGCACGCTCTCTTCCTGCGGACATAAATGTAGAGCACCTGAGTGTAAAGAGTGGTGTAAATGGCAAACGCATGCATACAGACATAAATTCACACCACAGTGCCTCCTCCTTTGCTTCTTCTCCACTCGTAACTGAGGCTGAGAGTTGTAAGGTGCGTGAACAGGGGCTTAGTAAACCTGAGAGTCTGATCTGTGCAGGTGTGAGTAGCTGTGAGGTTATACCAGTCTCATTCCTGTGACCCTGCTTCATCTGAACTGTGTTGGTCTGCATGGGAGCCAGCTTGTCTCCAGTGCTGTCAAGGCTTTCGAGCTGTTCTCAGTTTTATTTTTATTTTTTTGGTGAAACACCCTACTATGGAACTAAAGGAATTTAAGCCTTAGGCCACAAAGAAAGCAAATTCTAAAGATGAATGTGTTTCTCCTTTGGTCCGTCTCTTTCCTACTGCGGTTGGTAAAGAGGATGTTTCTTATGCACATCAAAATATTAATTCAACAGCTCTTTTCCAAAATGGACTGTAAAGTAGCCTAGAGTTTAGAAATGAATGATGCATGCTCATTTCATTTGGAAGGAAATAGTTTGGTTTCATTCTAATTGATGTTCTTTATTAAGAATTCTTTTGTGAACATGATCCCACAAACCAGTGCAAGTGGCCTTAATATTGAAAAAATTATGCAGCATTTAGCCCTGTTAATGGTTGGATGTAACTTTTCATTAAAAAGCTGGATGTTGATATTTTGTAGACAAGTATTTCTTGGCAAAAAACCAAACCTAACAAAAAGTTAGGATAACAGCAAGTGAGACTTTGCCTGCCCTCGGTTTCATACTTACGTGTGTACACGTGCATAATCATACGAATAAATATGTATATGTAGACATATGAGGATGAGATATATTTTATCTGTATATCTGCATCTATATGTCATGTATATGTACAGGAATAAGTCTACATTTGTGTATAATATGCACATAAATAAAATACAGGCACACACCTGTAGTACCTCATTCTGTTTGTGCCAAAGCATGTGCTGGGATTTTTTGGGTGTTCTTCCTGGTGCAGCAGCAGGGACATGTAAGTCACTGCACTGTGTGTAACAAGTAACGTTGCCCATCATTTCCTTAAATTATTTCCTAGTCTGGCTTGGAGAAAAGTAGATAATTGCCTGCTGAGTGATTCCAAAACCAGGAAAGGAATATTTTTAAGTGTGATGGGCTTGGTAGTTATACTTAGTTTATAACTGTTTCCTAATGCTAATCAGTATGTAGATCTCTCTCATCTTGGTGTCATGTTTCGTGAAATAGTTATAAGGAAGCCTAACTAATTACTGTGACTTTTTGCAAGGGTTTTATGGCAAGCTGCTTTGGGCTCTGTATCCGTTTTGTTCAGTAGGCTTCATTAGCAAGAATTTGAAAGAGCGTATTAGTCAAAATAGCTCTTTCTAATCACAGTTTTTTGGCATTGAAGAGTTTGATCCTAGAGATTTTACTGTGTTCAGCTTTTCCCTATAAACTATTACTCTCTCTTTTGATGCTTCTTTTCCCTGCGTGCCCAGGATGCGAAGCAAGAATGGAAAGCAGAGTGTGCCGTTATCCACAGCAACTGTGTCCATGGTTCACAGTGTCCCTGAACTGAAAGTCAGCTCTGAAGTGAGTACCATCACGTGTTCTTTATTCATACCTTTCACTGTAGCTCCACAGTGGAGTAGCTTAATTGTAGGAGCTTCTTCCACGTTGTATACGCCTCACATAGGCAGTTTGGCTTCCCTTTGAAGAGGAATTTGGTGTTGAACTTCAGCAGCCCAGGGTTTCCGCGTCTTACCCTGATGCAGATGGATGGTTACCAGGCTTTATAATGTTTGGGTTTTTTTAGAGCTGTGCACTAAAAAGATGGCACTTTTGTGACAGCTGCCTGAAAATTTGCTACTTGAGTGATTTTTTTTTTTTTCTCTATGAATGAGCAGTTTGTGGAAAGTTCAGTTCCCACTAGTTCAAAGCTTGTAGTGTCTTTGAAATCTGGCTTTACTGTTCACATGTTTGGGGTTTTTTTTGAGCTGTGCACTAAAAAGATGGCACTTGTGTGACAGCTGCCTGAAAATTTGCTACTTGAGTGATTTTTTTTTTTCTCTATGAATGAGCAGTTTGTGGAAAGTTCAGTTCCCACTAGTTCAAAGCTTGTAGTGTCTTTGAAATCTGGCTTTACTGTTCACATCAAAATTTGCCTCGCTAGATCTAGCAAAGCTAGGTTTTTTGCAGTTTGCCTGTACGTTCAATTTATTTCATTATTTTCAAAATATTCCCCTCAGAGCTCAGTGTGGTACTTTGGAAGTCTGTAAACATGTGTGAGGGGAGTAAACTTCAATCTGGTTTTGCTGGGGTGTAAGCTATTTGGTACCAGTGCCCACAGAGAACTACATAATCTGACTGTTTATGCCTGGAGGCATATATTCCTTAATCTTAAATTGATAATGATAATTGTTTCTATTATTAGCAGCTTCAGTGTTATTCTCAGCCTCGTGTTGTCACGTGTGTTGTACTTGGTGTAGAACTGTAGCAGCCAACCTTTTCAGTGCGGTTGGTGAACTTGTCTTTTGTGCACCCCAAAGCTATTGCTATTTCCTCCCAAGACTTATGGCCTTAAATTAATTCAGTGGTTGATTAGTTGTTAAATTCAGACATTGTCGTGTTGAGTTTATCAATTTTAAGAGATACTGGTGGCGCGAAGATCTGAGAGCAGACTTTGGGAAGGTTTTTTTCAGTAGAAAAATTGTTGATAAAGCTGCCATCACTACAGTTAAGTTGATGCAGTCGATTTGTAGCAGAAGTTCTCGAGTTTATGATGCCCAAAAGGCAATAAACTTCGTTTTATTTCTTCTGAGCTCAGCTTAGTTGTGAATATTTTGTTACAGCAAGCAGAGCAGCTTGGAAGAGAAGATCAACAGCGACTACATCGAAATCGAAAGCTGGTGCTCATGGTAGATTTGGACCAGACATTGATCCACACTACGGAACAGCACTGCCAACAAATGTCTAATAAGGTGAGTATTTGGTGTTAACTTTCACGCCAAAGTGACAACAGGAATATTTGTAGCGATGTTTAAATGATGGTTCTTCAAGAAAGCGTTCTGTGATTAGGTAAAACTGCAGTTGAAAAATGAGAAGCAAGGCTTCTGAAATGTGTTCCTTTTTCCTTCCACATTTAAGTGGGTGGTTTTCTGTCTCCCGTTTATGCTTTCCTGCACTTTTCCATTCCAGTCGCTTTAAGCGAGAAGTTTCAGGTAGCTATTTTTAATTTCTGCTTTCCTTCTACAATTCACACGCAGAGTTACTCAGTAATGAGACTTTCTTTTCCCCTTCAAGTCTGAGACACGTTCAGTGAATTTTCACTGTTCAAAGTCCATTTTTGGGTAATCCTATGCACTACTACATCTTTTGTTCCGTAATTATGTATGTCTGGTGGTTTTTTCCTTCCATTTTGCTTATTTTGAGGGAAGTTTGGGTGTTGCAGTTTAATTTCTTCATGAAATACTTGATAGTGAACTGACAGGGACTATTGGTTTGTAACATTTCTAATTTGGAAACTTGAAAAGCAGAAGCATGTTGGAGTATGTCTAATGTGTCTTGTACAGGAGGGTGCAAATGCAAACTCCACTGCAGTTAATTAGTTCCTCTTGCCATTCTTGGCATGTCCATTAGGTTCAGCAAAAAAACAAACTGTAAATGTACTTTGCAATTGAGAGGAAAGGAAACAGCGAGTATTTGGCATAAAGATTAAAAAAAACTTGTATATTTGAAGGGCTATTTCTTCATCTGTATAAATGGTTTAGGGGTGAACTTGTAGTGTAGGGTCAATGGTTGGACTCGATGATCCCAAGGAGCTTTTCCAACCTGAATTGTTCTAGGATTCTATAATGCACAGTATGAAGGAAAACATTTTTTTAAAAAATTTTTAAATTTCACTGGGATCTTTATCTGCAGACTTCTGTCCTGGTCTGCTGTGTGATGGTGTGCTTGCAGAGACACGATAATATTTTTTCATCCAACAGAGTCTTTCTCTGAGCTCTGTATGTACTGAAACTCATCTGAGCGAAGTTGGCTGAGTAGTACTTTCCAAGAAGTTTCTCAGGTTACTTTTTTGAGATTGGTTTGACGGAAGTGAAGATTGGAATGAAAGTCGCCTTGCGCGTAAACTTTTCAACAATGTGGCTTCCTGTGTTTGAAAAACTTAGCGTGGGGACCACCTGGCCCAGGGCAAAAATGTGCTTTGGGTTTTGTTCATCTGCATAAATCTTTGGCCGAAACTTGCTTTAGCCTAGTCAGGCCAGATAAAAGCCGTGGAAACAATGGAAGCGGGCACTTCCGTTTCGTGTTTTGATAATATGAAATATGCTTTTTCTTCTAGGGAATATTTCATTTCCAGTTAGGTCGAGGTGAGCCGATGCTGCATACTCGTTTGCGTCCTCATTGTAAGGAATTCCTGGAAAAAATTGCCAAGCTGTATGAATTGCATGTTTTTACTTTTGGCAGCAGACTTTACGCGCATACAATTGCAGGTGAGTTGTACATTATGGTTAACAACACTTACGTAACCAGCCTTCCTAGTCATGTAACAAAATTAGTTCAACACTTCCTCAATAGTCCTACAAGCAGAATTCTTGGCTTGCTTACAAGACAGTGCCTGTATGGCCTGTAGTTTTAGAGTTATTTTTTTCCCCTGATCAGACGTGCCTTTTTTTTCTTTTTTTTTTTCCTTCTCTGATGGTTAGAGTATCAGATTGTGGTATGGCAACCAGTGCTTTCCTACTGAATTAAGAAGTGATGCTGATGGTCTCCAAAAATGATCTGCAGCGTCACGTGTCTTAGAAATCTAAAGCAACAGTTCCATGAAAATCTTGAAATTATATCCTCCTGTGGGGAACACCCCCCCACACCTCACTGTTTCCTTTCATCAAAGGAGATTTGACTTCTGTCACGCAATTTACAGCAGTTCTGTTTGTGTCCTAGAGCTGAGATGTGCTGATTTAAAGAAGAGCACAGCTCTAGCAGAATTTTCACATACTCTTCTCAAGAGCTTAGAAATATTTTCTCCTTGTAACTGCAAATCTGCATTTCAGTTACAGCAGTAGTAGTCTATGATGCGAGTCACTGGCTGAAATGTGTTTTATTCATAAAAGAAACTTCTACCCTGTTATACAAGCACATGGGTCAAACTTGCATTGCGAGCATGACCGTGTTTAAACTCTAAAATTAACTTTCACCCCATCCTGTGTCTGCCTTAGAGTGGCAGTTTCACCTCAGACTTTCTTTTAAGTCTGTGGGACTACGACACTATAACCCTGTTTTGGGTTATGGCTCTGTGTGTCCGACTGTCTCGCTGTGCTGTTCCATGTCTCAGAGCTGTTTTTAAGTTTCTTCTTCTGTGTGGTGTTGCCGCGAGTGCTGTGGGTGACACTGTCCCAGTGATCCCAGTCCTTGGCACGGAAGGAAGGTTCCACGATAGAGCTAACTCTCCTCGTTAGCTCTAGGGCAGTTTAGAAAATAATTGTGTAATTAGAGGATTCTTCATGTGTCTTAAGTCATAGAAGGTGCTTTTAAGGACAAAAATATTTCTGTGATCAGAAAGTGATACCTATACCGAATTCTCCTTGAAAATAAGCGTGCCCATCCAAGCGAGTGTCTCTGCGTTACTCAGGGTGTGTGTTGGTTGAGTTGCTGCAAGAATCTTCCGGAAGCTTTGTCGGTCTCCCTGTTGGGTTACACGTTGCGTCCTGCTGATGCGTGAACGCTCCTGCACCCCTCTGGCCGCCTTAGAGTGTGGTTACCTCTCCCGGAGCAGAAGGGGAATGGTTTTCGTGCACACTAGGTCTAAGTACCTGGTAGTAAGAGAGGGGGCGAGCAGTTTTCCTCGCTTGGGTCTCCGTGCCAGAAACCCGAGGTCAGCAGATGAGTACTGGCTCAAGTCAGAAGATGCCGAGCGCATGTGCTTCAGAGCCAGGGAGAGAAATGAATTGCAGAGGTGGTTAACTCACCTCCACGTGCTTTCCCGGTGGTGGATCTGCTCTCAATGTGAGATTTGGTCCCGTCTTTTTTCATTTTAATCTCCGAGTTGAAATTGGGATTACCCCGCGGTCCCCGTGCCGGCGCAGACTGCTCCTGTGACGAGCCGCTTGGTGGGCATCCTGCTTGAGCTTCTCCATCTGCTCAGGGTCTCGCTACTTCCCAACGTCCCCGGTGTGCTGGATTTTTGCCTGAAGCAAAAGCCTCCAGAGTAGAAGGGGTTTATAGTGACGGTGGTAGTTTCAGATTAAATATGTTGGTATTGAGAAACAGTTGGCAGAGTCTTTGGTGCCCGTACTCACCACCTGTGTAACCCAGACGCAGTAACAGAGGTATCTCACTAGTACATCGAGAGAGCGCTTGGTGGCAGTATTAGCTAAATGATTTCTCACAGAGAGCTGTCAGTTCCATATTTTACCTTTATCCCTACATTATGTAAAGGAAGGACTTGGAATAAAAAGCCAGGAATCTTTTAATAAGAAGAAGGTTGTTTTCTTAGGTCTTTTGTGGCCATGCTGTATTTCTTTGTGAAATTGGAACTCTGAGCTGTACCTTCTGTGTCCTGGAAGGCTTTTTCCTCGTTTTGCAAACATATGACATCTTGTCAGTCACTTTTCTCTCATCCCAGCTGACTCATATCAGCTGTTAAGTGGGATTAACTGATATTTGCAAACACCATTTGTCTGCTTAAGTCATTTATCTCCAACCCTTTCTTAGCTCAACACACTTACAGAATGGTACCTTGTAGTATGTTCATGACGATAAGTTTTGGATTTTGTAATCTAGAGCTTTCTGTACTATTTCTATTCTCTGTAAATATTTTGACCAGTTGCTATTTAATTTTTTTTCCATCATGCATAAGAAAGGTTTGGTGTATTTAATCGTGAAGTCGCCTGAAATGCTGATTGTACAAATCACTGCCACTTAGAATTTTGGGTTCAGAGGCCACTATGTGGCAGTAATACAATGTGAAATTACTCTTAAGATTTCTAGTGGAATTTAGAGAGTAGGACTAACTTGAGGGCATTCGTATGTACAGTTATGGCAAGTATATTGTAGTAAGTAGTTCAGTAAATTGACTGGGTATTTCAATAAATGATTGGCAGAATACGTCCGTATATGTAATCACTGGCATCTGAAGATTTCCAATGCTGTTGAAAGCTTGGGTCAACAGCTTTTTCTAGGTTCTTAAGTGGAACCTGAAACAGGGCTGGAGGTGACCTAATTCTTCAGAAATTCAAGTTTAGGTTTCTTTTTAAGAGGACTTCTTCAAATTCGTGTTGAATTCTACTGTTAACACTTCTACCGGGAGCTGCTGTTTAACTCATGGGTATCTAAGATTTGAGACTTCCCCAATATGATTTAGTTACTTTTGAACATTGCATCTTGTGATGGCTTTAAATTTAAAAATTTGCTTTTCTGAGACGCTGGAAGATGAAACAGTTGGTGGGAATAGTCTGCTAGGGAAGTCTGTTGAGTCATAATATGGCAGTCAAAGCATAATGATAGTGTCTTCAATTTGTTCAAGGAACTATTTAGAGGCATACTTAGCCCAGTGTCTGATTTATGAGAAGGAATGGAAGCTCAGTTTTGATTTAAAACTGCAAGTCTTTGTCTTCAGTCATTTTGACTTCTGCTAAAGACTTTAATTTCTTTTAACATGCTTACAGGATGAGAAATTCATCAATGTTTTTCCTTCTGCTGGAATGATTTATGCAAACTGATACTTCTCCAATAAAAAAATTCTGTTAAGAAAAAAAAATTCATTACCCACATGAAGGCAGCACAGTGTGGCCATAATAACTTTTCAGGACACGGTGGTAGGAAATAGATAGGAATAAATGAAACAAAGAGCATATTTTGGAAACACTCTTGCTGTTTCTGCAAACTTAATGAGTTTTATGCATGGACCTTTTCATCACTCTGCAGTTGTAAGCAAATGCCCCCACAGAAAAGTGACATAAATTATATTTTTTGGGGTGTCTGTGTTAACTTTTCTTAAGGAAGAACCTGTTTACTGTTGTTTGGAGTTGTATTGCTAAATGGTTAGTGACTGGCCAGTACAGCCTTTCGAAAGATTTGAAGACGGTACTAACACGCTGTTGAAGAAGATCAATGATGTATGACAAATGAAGCGTTACCTCCTGTTTCCTTGAAATGTGAAAACGGCAGGATTATGTCTGGTTTGATTCAATTCAAAGACAACATCTGAAAGAAACCAGTCTGAGACACGTAAAGCACTTCTTAGAAAGACCAGTGCTGTTTTCTGTGTTACTGTTAGCTTCGAAAGACCTGACTCTCTTTAAGACGGGCTTTTATCCATCTCTGGTGTATCCTCAGTGTATTTTTAGCGATTCATTGAGAGGAGGAAAGGTATTGAAATGAGTAAGTCTTTACCAAAGCATTATGGAAAAGCTCCTTGCCTCTAATCCCTGGCAGCCAGGGTTTCTGTGTTCGGGCTTTCTTAGTTCGACTTCCTTTTTCTTACCGCAGCTGGAGGCCTCGCTGTGGTTTTACCATTTAAGTGGTGTGCTCCTGTCCACCCTGGTGTAGAGTCCCCGCCGTGTACTCGGAGAACGAGTGGAAAAGAGTTTGACTGGGGAGGCCAGCGACTTGTATGACAGCTTATGTAGTTTGTCAAAATATCTGTGTGTGCGGCAATGAATCTCTGTAGCTAATTCTCTCACTTCATTATGCCTAGGTACTGCAAGGGTCTCACTACAGGGGATGATTCTACGAGTTTGCAGCAATTCTTAAGCATAGTCGGGTGAGTTAAGGTTGAACCTCTGTCCTTAACTCGGAATTTTCTTGCTTTTATGGGTTTTAAGTTATTCCAATTACACGTTAATACATTCAGGATCAACTTTTCAGAAGTGATGACTGGATTATTTACGTATTTATTTTTAATTTATACCCTCTATTTCTGAAGACCCAACTTAACATACTCCGGGGAACTGGGCTTCTGAAAGGAGTCGAAGATCTGTTCTGTGCAAATCTCAAAGCTCCTTGAAAGAAAATTGAAGTTGGTCCTTAGAGTCTGTAATCATTTGGAACCCCGGTCCTGGCTATAGGATGGCCAACATTTAAAATAAAACAAAGCAAAATCTTAAAAAATTTGTTCCCAGCTAAGTATTGACTGCCTTGTACTATTCGTAAGGGTGATGAGAAGTTGATGTGAACTTCAGCAGAGGCTTAGAGAAACAACAAATTGCGATTAGCCAGTAAAAAGCCAGTTTAAGCAAATGGCGTGGCTGTGATCTGCGTGTGAAGATGAACTTCATTTTTGGAAGCCAGAAGCATGTGTGTTTGTGTGCCCAGCTCACCGTTTTCCTTAATAACGGCGTTATCTTGCTTTTAAGATCAGCTAGCACAGCTGCTCCTCTTCTGTTTTTCAGTTCATCTTCTAGAGCGCAGCACAAAAAGCTGCTGGGACTGGGCCTAAAGTATTTTTAGGGATCCAAGGGTGTAACCGTTACGTGTAAATGTATTAAGGGTAGCTCTTACAAGTACAACTTAAAACCTACAAATGCAAAAGCTCTGGCTGAAAGCCTCCCTTAACTTGCCCCTCGTGCTTGAGTACGGCAGCGCAACGCCGACTCTTGTGAGACTTCTCTGCAGTCCCGAGGCATAATGAGCTGAGGAGGGTGTTGAGCTTTAAAGAACCGCCTGTAGAGAGAGAAATGTAAGCTGCAAAAACCACGCGCCTCTATTGCCTGCTCTATCTCTTTCAGCCTCATTTATTCGGCTGCCACAAATTTAGTTATTTTCACCTCCGTCCGTGTCGCTACACTGAAAGGAAGTGAGATGGGGTTTCTAAAATTAAGCCCGCCGCCTTAGTTACAAATATTCGATCCACTGTGCTTCCTTACCCTTTCCCCTGTATAGTATCTCCCATTTGAAAATAGTCTCTTAATTAAACTGCTGTTGCATAGATTAAAATAACTTACTTTATACAGAACATAAAAAGGAGCCAACATCTCGAACGTTAACTTTTGAATTTCTTGTTTCAAAAGGATTTTTGGACCCTGAAAAGAAACTTTTTTCCCACCGGATATTGTCAAGGGATGAATGTATCGATCCGTTTTCTAAAACTGGGAACCTTAGGTATGTATATGGATTAAACAAAAGAGGACAACAGAGAGACAGAATATGCTAAATCTCATTACTCCCTCTGTACTTAACGTGTTTATAGCCATTCTTTATCTGCCTCTTAAATATAAACACCACCCCAATCACACCACGTTGTTAGGCATTGCAGCATTTCATCCACTTACCGTGTTCTGCGCTCAGAGCTGTAAGAATGGGAAGCAGCGCATCATGTTTTCACTCACACATTATTCTGGCCACAACTTAACCATATTTCCACTTTATGGCTTATGATCTTCTCTAATGACTTGCATATTGTGGTTTTGTTTGGTTGTGGGCTTTTTTTTTTACTTAAACCAGAACGCTCAGGTTTAGGTTAGTTCCTGTTTGAATATCTAGTGTTCTGGCTTTCAAATGTGCCGTACATCCAGCACCTTCTGTTCTCAAGTCGTTCTTGAAATTAGGTCACCTAGAGCCTTGAATTCATCTGCTGGTCTCAATTCAGGTTCTAATCTTTGTGAAGTATAAAGCCAAGATTTATTTTTTTTTCCTAAAATATATATTTGGTATTTTGTAAAGCTAGATAATAAACGATTGCCCCATCCTCATCCAACCATAGCAAGTGAGAAGCTTTTTTTCTTTCTCTGTTTTCATATGCATGTGTACATCTTTAAGTACTCTACCTCCTCCTTGTAGGTAATATAAATACTAGTACTTTTTGCTCCCTTTGACTTAGTTTGAGTAGACTCATTCAATCCATTCTTGTCTCTTTTTTTCTATCAATAGTGTATTGACCCTGTTGTAGTTGACTTCGGGACATTAAACTGTGAAAACAAATGTTGTAACATTTTATTCTTGCAGAGATTTGCTGGTTCCTGCTTCTAACCATTGGGATAGAGGTCTAAAAATAGCTGTTTCCATTTTTTTTTATTAATTCTGGTTGGTTTAAATATTGTATTTTGAGTTCTGCAATTTTAATATTGTAAAAAAATGTTTCTAAGTTCATGGCCTGCAGACGTGCTCGTAGTAAACCAGAACGTCAACACAAACCACTTTCGTTGATAGTACTGGTTTCTAAAGGTGGATTCATTTTGTCAACTGGTTTGTCTCGTAGAGATCTCTTCCCGTGTGGGGATTCCATGGTTTGCATCATTGATGACAGAGAGGATGTCTGGAAGTTTGCACCCAACTTGATAACTGTGAAGAAATACGTGTACTTTCAGGGCATAGGAGATATTAATGCACCTCCTGGATCAAGAGAAATTCAAATGAAGAAGAAAGGTAATTATATAATTTTTCAACTACTTCTACCACTTTTTCCACTTTTCCTTTGCTGAAAATGAATGTTTTCTTCTCTACTTACCTCCCTGCTGAAATCATGCTAGTAAAATTTTGGGGGATTTTTAACATCTAGGGAACGTTCTGGCATTTGATGAGAACTTCATGTTGTGCAGGCTCAGCAGCTTGAACGCACATAATGGATTTAGAAGGTGGATGTCGCCAGGTTAGGATGAATTTGGGGACAAAACGCAAATGAGAGAGGATGTCTAAGAAAAAGAATTGCAAGGGTTTTTCCAGTTTAGCCAAGATAGGGTTTTTCTGATGTATGGGACATCACTTTCCTTTTTTTTGCCCCGTGCTGAACTAGAGCTGTCCCATGTGGAAACAATGATAACGTACTGAGACTGAATGAGGCCACTGTGAGGTGGGACCTCCCCGCCTGACTGGTGCTGTTACTTGCACGACGGGGACATGCACGCAAAAGAGAGAGACAAAGCTGAGTGACTTCATCCAGTGCTCCTGAGGAATGTCTGTGGGCAAATTTCTGGATCTCTGCAGTTCCTTTAGCTGTCTCTTCTGCAGGTGTCCTTTTTTTCAGAATCTCTTAACCTTTTACTTTTATTCCTCCAGTGACCCTCAATCAGCATCTTAGTTTACTACATCTTTTAGCAATACAATTAAAATACAATTATTTTGGTGGTGAAAAATAGGAAATGTGTGAGAGCCATGGAAACTTATAAAGGAAGTTCTTGTAGTTCTGGATTAGAAACTTATGAAGTGAATTCTATCCTTTTTTTTTTTTTTTTCTAGTTTCATTGCCCTGGAATGTAATTGTAGAACTCGTGCTGCAAGATAAATCCTTTAATGTTTGCATAGTTAACAAATAATTACTTATGACCTATGTGATTTTAAAAAAAAAAAAAACCACAACAAAAAACAAAGCTACTTGCACAGCTTCTTTACAAAAGTGAAGTTTGTTAGGTTTGCTGATTCTTTCTAGTAATCATTGACATCACAAGTACTTTACCAAAGCTGAAAAGCTTAATTGTCGGTTCTAAACATAGTGGAGTCTAACTGCACGTATAAAATGTGTGTTTAAGGGGAAAAATAAAAAATTTGATTAAGCTTAAGAAAAAAACAACTGGGAAAATACATACATTTTATTGTCTCTCTTTCCTGTGTCTTAGTAAACAACTCTACAAAACCAGAGGCACTGGAAGTGACATCAGCGAAAGATGCTGAGGAAATAAAGAACGTTCTGTGCGTAGAAGAGCAAAGCAATGGCCTCAAAGCTCCGAAGGACACTTGCACTGCCAATGGAAGTACTTCTGTAAGCAGGGACACAGCTGACTGGGATAGGAACTCTCGTGAGACAGTTAATGCCCAGGACTCCGTAAACGATAGCACTGATCACAAAACGGCCAGTGAGGCCACTGACAATTTGACAAATACAAAGGAATCTCGGGTTTTTTCAGAACAAGCTGATAGAACGGCGACGGAGAAGCAGCAAACCCAGGACAAGGCAACAAACGACTTGGACTTTGAACTGTCTAGCGACAGTGAAAGCGATGGTGGGTTGGACACCAGAAAGTCGTCCACTTCTGTATCAGATAGTGAGAATGAGGAAAAGAGAAGCTGGAAGAAATCCAAACAGCCTCTGAAGGATGAAGGTTTGCAGAAAGGGAGTTGCGCTGACGTGAGCGAGAAGGACAGCCTGGTGAACCATTCGGGGGACGCACAGCTGCTCCCCGGTGAAAATATTCACGACAAAACTGATCTTGAAGCGCAGGATGAAAGTGAACAGGAAAGCCTTTGTGACTTAGGGAACGGGTGTGCAGACAAGAAAGAAGCTGAAACAGAGTCTCAGATCAGCGAGCAGTCTGGAATTACAATGGGCGAGTCCTTAGACCAGAGTATGGAGGAAGAAGAGGAGGAGGATGATACCGATGACGATGACCACTTAATATACCTCGAAGAGATCCTGGTGCGGGTTCACACTGATTATTACACAAAGTATGATAAATACCTGAAAAAAGAGATTGAGGAAATTCCAGACATCAGGAAAATCGTACCGGAACTGAAAAGTAAAGTGTTGGCGGATGTAACTATAATATTTAGCGGACTCTACCCAACAAACTTCCCCATTGAGAAAACACGGGAACACTATCATGCCACAGCACTCGGAGCAAAAATTGTGAAGAATCTAGTACTTAGTGCTGATGATCCTGACAAAGCGACGCATCTTATTGCAGCAAGGACAGGTGGGTACACGCGACGTGGATTTTCCACCGATTTTTCTCCTCTTACAGTTTGTTCATGCCTTGAAATGTGTTGAGGTTTGTTGGTTTTGGGGTTTTTTTTGTATAGGGCTTTAATGTAACTGAGATCAGAATTGAAATTAAAGGGAAGATTCTTCCTAAAACCATTCAGAAGCCTTTTTTTAAAGGCTTTTTTTGCTGCTTATTGGTCAATTGTGGCTTTTAATTGTTAGAAGGACGACCTGCTAAGTAACCTCTGATGCAAAGTGTCACGTCTGATCTCTTGGGTAAGAGTTAGTGTCACTGAGTCTCTACCTATTAAAGATACTGAGTAGGAACTTTAATGTTTGTTTCAGAGGAAAGTTCATAGGGGTCTTCCTAGGAAGTTACAGTAGCGCTTGGCTTCTCAGATTCCACCTCTTGCAGTTCAGTTTTACTTTGTATGGAATTAAAATGATTTATCTTAAGAGCTCCGTGGGTAGCCTGTGTAGCTTTGTCATGGGAGGTGTTAAGCTGAAGCTCTCTTACTTGGATGCCTTTCACAAAGCTGCCTGATTTTACGTAGCCGTGATGAGCAGGAACGTACCGTTGGGTAACTGTCACGGGGGGCAAACAGGCCACCACCAGCTGCTAGTACAGATTTCATTTTTTTTTGAGCACGCCCTAATCTCCGACTCCCTTGTTGCCCTCTTGAAGCTGCATGGGATCCAACTATGGGGTCGCTTAAGGGTTATTCTAGTGGGGCAGCAGTAGAAATATGTCACTTCGGGCCATGATTTTTTTCTGTTCTTTTTCAAAATATTCTGAACTTAGTGGCTTTTCCTGTGCTTTGAAAGCTCGGTGGGAATCATGCATTGTATTATACGTAGAATCCTAGAAGGGCCTAGGCTGGAAGGGACCTTAGAGATCATTGAATCGAACCTCCCTGTCATGGGCAGGGACGCCTCTTGTAACTTCCTTCTTTTTGGTGACTTAGCCTATGTCAACTTTTGCTTAATACGATGAAATATCAGGTTGCTTGAACCACTGACGTTACAAACTATGGATTGTTTTACTCATCCTTATTTACCTACTTAAAAAAAAATGCTTATTCCTGAGCCTGACTCTGAGGTACCGAGAGAGAAGAGGAAGCTGCCAGATGATCAACTCGTGTTAGCCTGGCCTAGGGCTTGGTGTGAGCTCTTCACCAGGTACAGAATGAGTCCACAGCGGGGTGTTTTTCTGAAGAATATTTTCAAGGGCCATATCTTTTTAAAAACCTCCAGTTAAGTGCTGATCTGACCTTGGGCAGTGACCAGGTGAGCCTGTTGCCTTTCCTGGTAAAACCCTCCGAACAGCGTGTGAGTTGTGGGTTTGTCAGCAGTTTTGTCAAACAAAGCGCTGAGGGATTCTTGTAGGATGAAACGGCGAGGTCTGTGTGCCTTCTCTTAGGTTAACATTGTTGGAGAACAGCTTCAAGATTTGATGATGAATTGAGATTTATATATAAAAATGTAAGTGCCTAGTGTGCTTCGTGCTTTGGATGAGACAAAATAAACTGCTGTGCTGAAACTGTCCTGGAGAACAGTGGTAACAGTTTTTTTGTTGCATTATTATTTCCTTTCTTGGTCACATTTTTAGTAAGAGATTGTCAGGATTGATCGGAGGCTTTTCTGTGTTTTCAACCTTTGTTTGCGAGTTCAAAAGCAGAATTGATGAGTCCCTTTCCCACATTGGAGAATAACCTTTTCCCAGTGTTGTCTGCTTCGGCCTGGCTAGCTGTGATGAATTTGGACCTAGCTGCTTCACATGGAAAGGCTTGTGTGCCTTTAACTTCTTTGAACAATTTTAGACTAGAATTTGAAGTAGGGAAAGGTTGATTGGAGGATGATAATGCAAAAATGTAGTCCAGGAAAAGCAGTTTTTCCTCTAAGTGGTTTTTAGCCCAGCTGGATGGGTCAAACGTTCCGTGCTGCAGCACAAGTCCTATTGCTGGAATGGATTAAAATCCTTTCTGCTGTTTCTCCTTGATAAGCATCCTTCCGAAAGGGGAAGCTCCACAAGGACAGTAAGTATTGCAGTCCTCTTTCTCGTGCCCGGCTAAATTTAGTGTGCCACCCAGTCTTGCTCTGAGAACGTCTTGCTCCGAGAGCGTCCTATGTGTGAAATCTCAACTCGTGAAGATGTCAGTGAGAAGGAGAAGGCGAGATGGTTGTGTTAGCTCGTGTGATTTATTTTTTTTTATTATTTTTTTCCCTCATATGCTGGCGGGTGCAAGAGGCACCTGTGCTTCCAAGACTAGGAGGAGGGAGCCAAAAGCCACGGCAGTGGCACTGAAAGGGGAAGGGTCTTAGTGTCATCAATTTTAATTTTACCTTAGTGGTTCAAACCTTTTGGAGCTGTTGTCGAAGCGTAACGCTTTCACGCACAACAGCGTCACTTCGTCTTCAAGGCTTCTATTGCAGCCCCGTTGACTGGCAGAGGGATTTGCTCCTCGGCGTACGCCCGCTACGGAGCGACCCACCGTGCCTGAACGCAGAACGTGTGGGGAACAGGCGGTGAGATGGAGCACCTGACAAGCCATCAATGCGGAAACATTGATTTTAAAAATAGCCAGAGGAAGCCGGCTTCTCACGGAGCTTCGCAAATCTCGCATGAGGCGAAGGTGCTGGTTTAGGGTTTTCTTGGCCAAAAGGAGCAGCAGGATCTTTAGGTGGGCGAGTGGGTGCGCAGTGGTGTCGGAGAAGCTGTTCTCCAGGGTATTATAAGCACGGGCCAGATGTCCCGTAGCACCACCAGCTCTGGTTAACTGCTCTGTGTGCTCCCGAGGGAAATCACATGCTGTCGTGTTCTACCAGCTCCAGAGTTATTACGTGCAAGACAAAATTGCTGGTTATGTCTGCTGTTTGAGTATTTAATGCCACGCACAAGTACCTGAACTTGTACTGGACTGCTTGCTTTTTTCCCCTGACACTCCTATACTGATGAACCTGATTTCAGCATCCTCTTTGTTCTTAGCTTGGAGTGGCTTTTTTCCTTTTTTTTTCTCAAAAGAAAGCGTTTCCTAAGCTTAGTCTTTCTCTCTTTTTAATCGTTTGTCCCCCAGATCTCCTATTCTGGTTCTTCTTCAGTACCTCTGCTTGCTTTCTTCTAAAAAGTAGTCTGTGTGTAAATTAAATATAGGTTTGTATTCAGTTGTTTCCAACTGCAGGTATTTCTACAATTCCTAGTGAAGTAGTAGTAGATGATGATGATGATAATAATAATAGTAGTAATAATAATAATAATAATGCCACCTCCTGTGGAAGCTTCCTCTGGCACTGTAAACTGGTTCATTTCTAGCAGGTGTTGCGTGAAGGTGCTCTGGGTCACTGCTTTTGTAACTGATGATTAATTGAAAACCAGATTTCTTCTATCAGGGGATGAATGATCTGGGTGCACGGACCCGCATCTCAAGAGTTTTGCTTTTTAGCCGGTTAAAAGCTCTTGAACTGCAGAGGTGTGCTGGGATTAATGTGGCTGGAGTTCTAAAATTGTTTGCGTCGAGCCCGTGTTGAACAGTGGTTTCATTTTTATTTCATGGCAGAAATTAAAGTATGGCATTTGTAAATAATTTATAGTTCAGAAAGGGCTTTACTTTTAAATACTTGTTGTGTTTGTGTTGGATTCTTAAATCAATGCTTTTTATTGCAAAGGTATTAGCATACTTTTGTGTAAGCAGCTGCAGGAAGAAACCCCAGGGTCTTTGTGTGGAGTTGTTGAGCTTCAGCAGGGGAGGACGGTGTTTGAAGAGATATATTCTTCACTTGGAGTACTGAGAGCTCTGCCCTTAACCTAGAGGAGAGGGCTGAGTTGGTAACTGAACTTCTGCTGCCTCTGGTTCTTGACAGGTCTCCTTTTATTTTGCTTTTCTGAGCAAAAGTGTAGTGCAATATCCAGTGTATTCAAGTCTTTGCACCAAGAGACAGTGTGGACAAATGACTGGGCTTGCCAAGTGTTTTAGATAGTGTGTAAATAAGACGAAATGCTACAAATTACAGGGATGTAAGGAAGGGGGAGAGCAGCAGCTTTCAGCTCTGAGGCAGACCATCAGGGTGATGGGAGTTCCTTTGTCACATCCCAGCTATGCCAGTAGTTTGTGCAGTTTAAAAATGCCCTGTGCAGGTGTCGAGCACAGATAACACCAGGTCAGCACCCATGAGGCTTTTCTCTGTGACATATATGTTTAGTGATTTATTGGTAGATTTTACAATTTTATTTTGCCTCAGAGTGTTCAGTCCCTCCATGCATCTCTCTGACAAATGCTGAAGCAGGTGCCGCGATTGGTAAAATTAATTTTTCCAGTCAAATAGAAGAAATATGTTCTGGAAACATTTGGACAGTCAGCTGTTTCTGGGAACAGACTACACTTCAAGGTTAATTTCAACGTTTATTTTGTTTGCTGCTTTTTGCTTACTGCTTTTCATGCCTCTTGGCAAGATTTAGAGCAACTTTGCTGAATTCCTCTCTCGTTCTGGTTTCTCTGGAGGGTGCAACTGGAGGTCGTCACCTGTTACTTGATAACTTAGTGTGGATTTTGTGCTAGTCCTGCCACGTTTAACTTCACCTTCCTTGTTCCCCTTTGGCATTTCTCTGCTTATGTAGAGTCTCACTTTGATCAGCCCTGATTGATCCGTTGGGTTGGGAAGGGCTATTCTGTTTCTTCAGTCAAAACCATCACAAAATGTCCTTCCTAAACCAACTTCAAACTATCTCTGGGAGCACCGTAACATTCAGTTTGACTTTGCAATAGGCACAGAAAAAGTCCGGCAAGCTCAGGACTGCAAGGACCTCCACGTTGTAAACCCCGACTGGCTGTGGAGCTGCCTGGAGCGCTGGGACAAGGTGGAGGAGCAGCTCTTTCCCCTGAAGGATGACTACATCAAAACCCACAGGTAGGTGGGGAGTAAGGGCTGTGGAAACAACGAGGCTAATTTGTTTCTGTGCTGCTTTAACCGAAAACCGTTAAGGGATGGGGAGGCTCTTCAGCATCTGGCAGAATCGGGAGCAACTTGTGGTACCAGTGGTTTCTTCAGCAGTCGTTCTTGTTGGCCATTTCCAGCTGGAGCCGTTGACCTTGTCAGGTCATCTGCAAACTAACCGCCACGGCACGGGATCATCATGTTGCTCATGAAGGAGGGGGGAAAAAAAACCATACGTACTCTCACAGCGTGAAAAATTGGTAGTTTTCTGAGACTTGGTAGTGAGGAGGAAGGGAGAAACAGAAAAAAAAATAGAGCAGGCAATTCTAAGAGGGACTGGAAGGCATGAAGAGAGAAGCAAAAACTGGAAGAAAAGAGGTAGTGAGCAGAGGCTTTGGGATGGTACGAGAAAGTGTTGGAAGAGAAAGGAGTAAAAATAATCGGTGCGCTAGGATGACAGCAAATAGAAGGGACAGCCGAAAACTTTGTGAGCATGGAGGAAGTCAGAGGGCTGTTAAGAGCAGTGCCCTTTAGGAAAGTGCTGTGGCTGAAATAACTTGTGACAACGTACTGTCGAGCCAGCTCCTGCTCTGGTTGGATCAACTTGCTTTAGTGGTGTTTGCAGGCGTAACAGAGAGTCTTCCTTTCCCTGCTTAGGTGGAAAGGGGCATGACATATCGGGGGTTTGGTATTAAACTGGTACTGATGCAAGGAATAGGCTAGAGATTTCATTCCTGCTTAGGAGATGCTAGCCCTTGGAGGTCAGAAGGTGCATGTTTACGTCCTCATTCCCTCTAGAGACACCAAAAGGAGAAACATGTGGAAGTGAGGTCACTGGGTAAAGACTGGGATCCCTAAACCTTTGGAAGGACATGTAACTTATGGCTTGACTACAACACTTGGTTTTTAAAAAGTGTTATCGGATTATTATTTTTTAATCAAACTTTGAAGTATTTGCACGAGGGGTTTGTCTCAGATGCCCGACACTGCTGAGTTGTCGGTAGAAATCTAGACAGGGACTTGTAAGCTCGTTTTTTGCTACTTAAATGAATGTTAGTCTTTCTGCCCATCTTACTCTTCCAATTCATTGAAACGTGGTGAGAATTTTTCCTACTTCTGCGTTTCAAGTACAGCACGCCTTTACTTCGTACTCCTCCTCCCGCTTCCCCAAATGTCAGTCAGTAAGGACATCTACCTTAATGCAGATAACTATTAACCTAACACATGCAACTTTTTTGGAAAGGATTTTGTCCTTACTGAAGCTGCTCAGAGTCATGATTGCTGGTCTAAAGCACTTACGAGCTAGGGGACAGATGAACCCTGAGAAAACATTTGCATATGAAGTGATCTTAAGAAAACAGCAAAAGCTTAAAAATAGCAAAAAAGAATAAGTCAGCTTGGAATTGATTGACCTTGAGTATTGATGCTACAGACTACTTCAGAAACATCTATGAAAGCATGTGGTAAAACTCTAATTTTATGGCATTTCTAATATTTGTTACAAAAGAGTTTGTAACTTTTTTTTACAGCATTGGCTTCATGGTGCATGACATGGCTATTTTACTTTGTGATTATTTCTTTTTTCTTAAATGATTCAGTTTACTTCCTCTTTTCTTGTGGCACTTTGATAATTGGATAATGTAATCCCATAATGCGGACTGATCTGTGAGTGTTTCTGCTGACGCTTCTAAAATGATGTTTTTAAATGCAGCAGGGTGATCACAGGCGATTTAGTATTTTACCAAATGGGTTTGGATGACTTGTAAATTAATACCATGTGTTTGTTTTCCCTTGGACCCAATTTGAGGAGCAAATACTACGATGTGGTACCATAGCCTGCTTTTCTCTCTGTTGCATATATGCAGACGACCGTGTTGTGCTGTTGTTACTCCTTGGAAACAATTTCAGTAATTTTATGTTAATTTTTAGGGCACATCTAGTATTTTTTTTAACGATGCAAATGTGACATTATCTGTGTCTTTGCATTTTTCTGCTTTAAATTCAGTGAGACTTTAATTGGGGTGGAGGAGAAATGTTTCTTCGGAGATCTTCCAAATCAATTTACCCCCCCTACACACACACACTTTCCTCTTTAGAGCAAAGGAATGCTTGCTGGGTTTTTCTTTTAATGTTCTGGTTAGATAGCTCATTGCAGTTTCCAAAGCTAATTTTTTTTGTTTTCTGAACTTGGTCCAACAGAGAGAACAGCCCTGCCACGTTTCCCGACACGCACAGCGCCTTTCAGACGGCTCTCTTTCACCCGACCCCCATCCATCCCAAGTCTCAGCCTGGTCCTGAAGTGCGACTTTACGACCCAAACACCGGGAAGCTGATCAGGAAAGGAGCCCAGGCCTCCGGCCAGTCGATGTACATCCAGTCTCCAGCTCCTCCCATCACCTTACCCGTCCACGGCGAACACTCGTCCTTCAGGTACCTAAAGCACAGCTAAGTCGCCCTTCAACTGTGTTTTCAGATGCTGTCGTGAATTTAACTCTTGCTGTCTTAGTGTTTGATCAAATTGTCATCTTTACTTTAGGTAGTTTGTTTGCTTTCTTTCAGAAAGCTGTTTTCTCTCTTTTTAAGCCAAGGAAACGAGTGGAAGTGAAAGGAGGATGCTGCAATTTCACCTCAACGCCTAAATGCAGCGCGTAGTTTGTGCGCTCTGAAAAATGCCGGAATAACTCACCTCCGAAGTGAGGCAGCCTGATGATTTTTAAGGAGATTTAGAAGAGTGACTTGGGCTTTTGGCTGTAAAATATATCGTATAACACTTGGCTTTCAGTTATAAAATTCTCTGCTTCATCCTTCAGATGGGACGTGAGCTTCATGTTTTGTTTTGAGGAGTGTCAGAAGTGAAGGAAGTCTCAGTAGCTGACTGAGTATTATTTAATAAGGCCCCAGGACTGAGTGCTAGTTAATAATCCTTGGGTCCCTAAAGGAAGACACGAGAGCAGCAGGAGGAGGAGGAGGCAGCCTGCTTTTTCAAGTACAAAGACTAGCACCTGGGCTTTGTCAAAATTTGTGAGTTTGGTTTAGTTACAATGACAACACTTGTCTCTTAAGGATGCATAAAATATCTAAAATGCATCTCTGCGTATCTCCGTCAAAGATCTAACCTTCAGGCGCACTAACAAATTTAGCAAGGCTTGTTGACTCCGGTGGTTAAAGAAGTATCTGGTTGAAGGTGAAGCTTTTACCTTTGTGAAATGTGATCAAAAATTCCTCCAGGTGGGATCAGAGTATAGCAGTTGTCACCAAGCAATTCGGTTTTCCAGGTAGCTACAAAAATACAAAGCGCAATAATAAATCCACAGTTTTCTACCTTTCTTCTCCCTCTCCTGCCACGTTTGCAGTGTATCACTTGTAAAGGTTTTGTGTATTAGTGAAGCTTGTTATGATTCAGTTCGGTCTTCCTGTTGCGGAATTATTTCAACCTGTGTTTTTTTCAGCTGTTACTTTTTTTAACAGACTTTTTCTTATTTCGCCTTCCTTGTTTCTGCCAACACAGGGTTTTTTGAGTCTCTTGTTTGTGAAGACATCTTGGTTTCGCTTCTTTATAACTGTGCCTTTTAAAGTCTGTATTTTACTTTACTATGATGTGTTAAGTGAAGAGGAAAAACTTTATGTAGTCAGCATGTACGCAAAGAGGAGCTGAAACGTTTTTTGGTTTTGTTTGTCAGTCACTGTGGAAAGTAATTTCTCTAGAAATAGAGCTGGGAAGGCTGTGTATGTAATTGTCGTGATTCTTCTAAGATGCTTCAGCATGGTTTATGTTGATATTAATGCAAATGAAAAAGAATAGGGGTTTGTGTTTGGTCAACAGCTTAATGAAGAGTTGTGTCCGTGCCTAAGCCTCTTCCTCTTTGATGCAGAGGTGTTTGTTATTTTGAACATCTTACGGAAAAGGAGAGAAACACACTTCAGCTTCTCTCTTAACTGAATTTCTCAGAGCCCCAGACAAGACAGTATCTCCTTTCTGCTCCCTTATTTTATTTCACTTACGTATTGTTTTGACTGTCAGTGCTCAGGCTTGAGATGCTTTAATCTGAGCAAGTGAATCCAGTGACTCAGTGCTGCACCTTCAGCCCAGAACTAAGCAGCTGGGTGAGAAGAGATTGGCATAAGATACACGCTGGGAAATAGTATTTTAGTCATCACTTCCTGTTGGTTTGTTTGGTTCTAGCGGCAAAATTAGTGACCTGTAAACACCAGTATCTTAGTTGGGGCATGTCTGCATGTTCTGGTGTCTTCAGTCAGGATGGGTGAGGAGTGTCTTGGGGAAGGTGAGGAGGGAAGCAGTGCAGGGGTCAAATACCACCTCAGACACTTCTGATGAAAAGGCAGGGCACGAAGACTATAAAGAAGTAACAAAAAGCTGAATAGGAACAGCTTTGGTGTTTGGACAGAGCAGGAGCTGAGGCAGAAATCCTGTATTGTCACCTCGCTTTGTCTTAATGCGTGCATCAATGATAGCTGCTTCTTTTTTTAAAAAAAAAAGCTTCATGTCCCATTTTAAAATTGATGCGATACTTAACTTTAGAGATATTTACCTCAGTGCAGCAATTTATTCATAGAGGGCAGTGTATTTTGTGTCCTGACAGACTTCATGTGCTCCCGTGTTCACCTCCTACAGAAGGATGAGAGTGTTTGTACCGGAGCCAGTGAATGTAAGCAGTTGGATAAAGCTGTTAACTCTCACACTGGCTCCTGTTGTGGGCGGGTGTAGTCAAAGCCTCCAACAATCATCTCTGATAGTTTCCAAAAACTTCCCTTGATTCTGAGTTTCAGACAGCGGACGACAAAATCGCGCTGCTGTGAGAGGAAACCCTTGGGGAGATGGGTCTTGGGGTCTCTCACCGTGTGAGTAGCCCTTGTTCTTTGAAGGTCACCTCTTGCAGAGGGATTCAACTTGAAGCATCAGTCCCAAAAGGATCCGATTAGTACAGATCCCTGCACACCATTTACAGTGGCACCATCTCTGGTGAATTACAGATGTGTCCGTTAATTTGCTCGACGTTCCCTGCGACACACCTTGACCTTGGTGTTGTGCTGGACTCCATGAGGCTCAAACACCTGCTTTTTGTCGTGCCTGTTGCAGCCTGAGCGAAAGAAAAAGAAAAAAGGGTGCAAAGAGCTCATGGCTGACCTGGAAGGTGGGGGAACACGGTTCTCTGCCTGAGAAAAAGACCCTTCTTCCAAAAGACCTGGCGTGT